ACCACCAGGGCTTCACGGCACTGGGTATTTGGTTCCCTCCAGGAAGGGAGGGTTTGCAGCAGAGCACAAAAAGTTCATTAGACACTGCTGAGACATGGACAGCCTCTCTCAGGAGACTATCTGGTTACCTTTTCTCTGATGCTATGCACATCAAAGAACCTTCTGATGACTTATTCAGCTCCTCAGGGTCCTACATGGAGAAGTCAGCTCCTCAGGGTCCTACATGTGTATTCAGTGGGGGATTCAGGGCCACTGGGGTGTCTGCTGCCTGTAACAAAACAGGGCAAGAATATAGTTGTTGATGCCTCACAACAGAATCATTACCCTACTTTGTGATGGGACACGTGGCCTCAACACTGGTACTCAGTATTCACTGGGAGCTTTGGCTTCTAGTCTCATGAAACAGCACTACTATTGGTACCCAGAGATGTGTGTGTGTGTGTGTGTGTGTGTGTGTGTGTGTGTGTTGGGGGGCACATATTAAGATAGAAATATTGGGGATCACCCATTATAAAGTTCTCCATTCTCCCCTTTGCTCCCTTCATTTCAGTGACCTGGCCCCACAGTGTGCTACAGCTTTTCCACAGCTTTCTCTCATGCTGACCCCCTCTTTGGACTTCCCTACTTCCCTAAGTCTTCCTTCCTGTTCTCCACCTGCCCGGCTCTTTCTTAGTTCTCTAAGAATCCTTAGCACTGGTACTTCCCCTATGGAGGCCATCTTTGTTCCTCACCCAGTTCAGACTGTCTTTCTGGTTGCTAGCAACCAGTTCTTCAGTGAATGTACAGCCATGTACAGCCATGCACTTACTTGCACTTTTTCCTTATTATGATCTTTCTTTCTAGATTATAACCTCCATGAAGGGGGTTTCTTGTCAGTCTCCTTCTCCAGCATGTTCTCAGTGCCTCACACTGAACAGGCATGCAGTATTACTTGTTGAATTGAATGTAAAACATTCAATTCCCATGACATTAATAAAATCGTTGGCCTCTTTGCTAATACTGCAAAGAGTCTGTATAGTTTTGGTCAGTCCTGGGTGGCTAGACAAAGTCAGGCTGTGCCCTGCTACCTTAAGGACTAACTAACTCTGAGTTCTCACCCTAGTGGCCTGGCCTAGGCATTGCAAGTCCATTTCTTTTATTTGAGCATTTTGAAAGATGGCTTTCCTTCATGGGGTCAAATTGACACTGGATAGGAAAACAAGTAGGGAGAGCAGCAAGGATAAGAAGCCCCCTGACAGAACCCTTTAGGTTTAATTTGTCAGGTGACTTAAGAACAAGACAGGTGTATGATTATGATGTAGCCTGACCCAAGACATCGTCTTGGTTCCCACTTTTTCATCAACTCTCGGGCTGCTTGAAATAGCACTGGTGATCTAAATTAAACCTTTTTGTTACTGTTTTGTTTACCGAGCCTCTTTCCCACTTGTGTGTCAATCTGGTATACATATTTCCAATACTGACCATGTCCCTGCCCATTATTCATAGCACACCGTGGACTGGATGCCACTGTATAAGCTGACCCTTAACTCTCTCTCATTTCACCCCCTCTTTGCACAATTTGCTTTCCAGCCTCTTCAAACAGATCCCACAAGTTGTGAGCCCCCCCCCATCACATGGTGCTTTCATGCTTTGAATCCGCATTTCTCTGTCTGGATTGGTCCAAATGTCACTTCTGTGAAAGCTTTCTTTACAATGGCTTCTTCGCCCCTCACCTGTCATTCCTTCCTTATAGCAGGCATTTCATACCTCCCTCTCCGGTACCCTCTCTCCAGAGTGAGTTTCTTGCAGATAAGGATAGTAGCCTACTCAACGTTAGTAGGGCCTCAACATTTAAGGCCCCTGATAGGGCCTTAAAGAGATCCAGGCCCAAGTGAGCACCTGATCTAGGATGTCTGAGAGTCCAAAACCAAAAAAGAATCTGTTTTACAAAGTTAAAAAAGAGTACTTCCACTTCTGGGTCCTTCTCAGCTTCTTTTCCTCTTCTTTTCCAGGAGACTAACTGATCCAGCAAAAAGTGGTTTATAGAGGTAAAGGGCAGGTTGGATTGGAGAGTATTTGTTTTTCCTCTGCTTGGTCAGTACAGTTCTTTCTGACGACAAAGGACCCATGTGTTGGATGATCAGTGTGATTCCTGTCTCAGCGAGCAAATACTGAATATTAACTCCTAGACCCCAGCAATGCAGCTAACTACAGAAAGTCCCCTTTGTCATTACCAATAAAGTTAGTTGCATGTAGTAAAGTTGCATCTGGAACTACTCTCTCTGCTTCCTGGATCCTTGCTGATCCCCACTGCTAAGCCTAATGTTTCAGATAGACTTGTTTTATATGAGAAGACCTCTTGCATTAGTGAAGACAGGAAGGGATGACTAATCCAACAGCTTAATTTTTTAAGGAACACTAATTGAGAAGTGGGTTTTAGGACTTTGTTATGGGCCAAGTTCAGCTTTTGGGGGAGTATCTTTGATTCCTTTTGTATTATGCACTAGGGCATGGATGAAGTATATTCCATTAGAATAAATTAAGATCTGGAACTAGGTTGAAGGAAGGTTTTAAGTTCACTTGTTTATCCAGTTATCAAAACATTATTCTATGACCACCCACTATGTGCTGGGCATTATACTAGGAACACAAGGATCGTCTGACTAATAGACAGAGTTTTAGTTTTGACACACAGACATTCACAGATGCTCAGATTTTCACATTTTTCTAAGTGTGATGATGCTCCAAGGGGGATTATTCATTCCACAAGAACATGGAATCATAAAGGAACATTTTATAGAGAAGGTACCACTTAAGACAAGTGTTCTAGTTACTCTTCTGTTGCTGTGATAAAACACTCTGGGCATAAGCAACTTGGGGAGAGAAAAGATGTATTTTGGCTGCACTTGTAGGTTGTAACCCATTGTCAAAAAAATCAAAGCATCAACTCATACCAGGACACCAAAGTAAACTTAAGAGAACAGGTGAGAGTGATCAAGGGAACCAGAATGAAAGTCTGACCAAAAGGAAGAGCAGAATAATATGACCAGAAGCTTGGAAATCTAAAATGACAAGACCCAGACTCAGACAAATAAACTTCAGATGATGACCACGTGGCATCTGATTTGGGTCAGAGCTCTTAGAGGGTAAAATAAAAGATAATACTATCTCCATGTGGACATCCCTATTGCTTGAACAAACCCTCTGTCACAATAGTTAATAGTTTATCAATTAATAATACATATATACATTTATATAACTAAGAAGTGACTAATGACTTTATATGCCACTGGCTTCATCCTGAGTGCTGCCTGAAGTATAACACATTGAAAGTTCATAATAGAATTGTGTGTGCAGTAATTAGCTGATTTTCTGCTGTTTAAAGTTTACTGGATATCATTGTTGAATTTCTTCTATTGCCATTATTTTTTTTCTACCTCTTTGGGTTAGAATAGTCAGAATTTTAAGAATGTAATTCAAAATATTAGTTGAAAGGGACAAATGTGGATAACCTTGAGGGGGGTTTTTTTTTTTTTTTTTTTTTTTTTTTTTTTCCTTTTTAGTCAGATGAGTGGCGTGGCATTTCTGCATTGTGCTGTTGTTGTCTGGGCCTAGTCTAGCACTGTAGGCTATCAGTTCCCAGCCTGTATACTTTTCTACTTTGCACTTGTTTAACTTCCAGAGCCCCACCCTGAAGTGCTTCATTGTCCCTTTGCTATTCCTAAATATGGTCAAAATCAACTCACCTTCCGGGTTGCTGACACCAGCAAATTTACTGTTTGACAAAAGTGCCTTGGCTCCCAGTAAGTCTTTGTTTAAAAAGTATGGAGCCCGTCCAAGCCCCTGCAGACCTAGATGTACTCCTGAGAAACTGTATTTGGATTTACCACCACAGGCACTCCTGAACCTGTTGAATACTGGAGCACTGCTAATGAGCAAACAGCCAGGCTTCAATTAGTGGTTGGTGAAGTGTTTCTGGGTATCAAATTGCTTTTGCTGCTTGATAATCTCAGCAGCTCACAGGAAGAAAAGGAACCAGGCAAAAACTATTCCCTTGTTAAATACAAACTTGTTGATAACCTATTGTATCTGTAGACACAACCCAAGTTTTCAGTCTCCCCAGAGCTGAGGTTTAGATTATGGATGCATTGGGCCCATTACAGATGTAATCAGTGTTGGGCCCACACTTCTCTTGTGAATTTGCCCCCATAGCATTTATTATAGCATCTTCCTAGACTGGCTCTATAATTATTTAAGCCAGACAGATTATTTTGAAACAAACTAAGAAATAAACATGGACTCACTTCATGGGTCACTTCCTTGGTACTGGGGAGAGATGAGGGGTGGGAGTGGGAGCAAAAGGGAAAAGGGAAGGAGGGAGGGTTGGAAGAAAAGATCACCCAGGCTTCAATTTAGTTTGACTCTTCCTAAAGTCTTTGCTTCTAAATTACTAAGTTTAGAATACAGTAATGTTAACCCCAGAAACTTAGAAAACCTTCAGTATATAGTTTAGGAATAAGAGTACCAAAGGGAAAGGAATTCAAGATTTTTTGAAACCATTATTTGAATATTTATTGTGACAAGAACGCTGTTATAAATATGCACAAGCAAAGGCCATCTTTCTCTAGGAATTGTCAGATTCCAAGTTGGAAGGAGACATCTTCTGTAAAAACTTGCATGGGTTTCTGCTTTGAGAAGAAGCATCTATTGCTAAATCTCTATGATTATAAACGAGCACAGCACATGCCACTTGATATAGCTCTAAACTGAAGTGCCTGCTTTCTCTCTCCCTTTGCAACATCCCTGTTTTCCAGCCTCTAGAAACACCATAGCATCTTCTGGTCAACAGTCTGGACTTGTGAGTTGCTGCGGGAGAGAGTATGACCCTATGATAGCATGCAGGGCATCTATTCCTACAATCAAACAGAGAACACAGCTTTTACTCTAGCGAATTTGACATTCAGCTGTTATTCCATCTAGCTACTATTATCTATGGATAATGCAGCAAAGAGGTTGGGGGCTACTTTTCAATAGTTTATTGTATTTTCTTAAATATCCTTTCTGGAAATTTTCAGAAACAAAACATAAAAAAATTATATACTTTATTACAAATGGTAAACTCAGAATGCTTCAAATCTCTTATTTACAAACAACACTGGGCAGGACACCCAAACAAACAAACATGGAATAACTTACAAAGGCAGGAAGCTGTTTATTGACAGTAATCAGCTTTCATCAAATTAAAAAAAATATATATGTACATACACAGTTGAGGAAGGCAGGCCAGGGGAGTTCATCTGCAGTCTAGCCTGGCACTCACGAGCCTCCCTCCCCTCCCTAGCCCTCCCTGCTTTGTGTTCTTAAGGAGCACTACAGAAGCAATCTACAGTCTCTATTGCAGTTTGTAACCCCTCCCCGCCCCCCTTTAATACTGAATGAGATCGAATGTTAGGTCCATGCAGTTCTTGGTCAATGTTAACGAAAAGTCCATCGTTCTGGTCTCGCGGGCACAGCCCGATCGCAAAGCCTAGCAGCCAACAGGCCGCCGCTCTCTGGCTCCATGCCAAGGCAAGGCGCGCCACGTCCTTCCCACTCCAGCACACTGGGGGCGCCGTCAGGACGCAACCCAGTCCATCTCGTGTACCCTTGGCTTCGGTACTCGGGCACTTTTTTTTTTCTTTCGCAACCAGTCAAGTTCTCAAGTCTGTCTTTGTTATATTTTTTTTCTTCCATTGCCCCTCAGCCCTGACACTCTGTCCTCAAAACGTTTGCAACTGCTGCGTTAGCATGAGTTGGCACCCACTGTTAACGTGGTTCATGACTTTCTGTTTAAGCTGTGCCACCTGTTCCCTGAGCATGTTGGCCGTGGACGCCAGCTCCGAGTTTTGCGCTTTCAAGGTTTTCACTTTTTCCTCTAGCCGGGCGATCCTCTCCAGCTTCCTTTTCCGGCACTTGGAGGCGGCGATGCGGTTCCTCATGCGCTTCCTCTCCGCCTT